CAAAGACAAAAATATAAAGAATTAGGCCAAGCAAATAACTTAAACATGTAGATATGTACTCTTCCCTCACAACTGTACTCCTCTGTTTATGTCGTGTCAAGCCGACATTTAAGCATGAGTGCATCTTCAGATACTTTGAAAGTGCACCCTTGCGAACGTAACTTAAAGGAGTTGTAAAGGGACAAGATATAAAAGAGTTGAAAAAAAAGAAAAATAATAAAAAAAAGAAAAAAAAAGTGTCCAACAAAAAAAAGTGAATAAGTTGACAAGTCCACAACAACATTAGTTGCATGAATAAATACAACTAGGAAAACTGCTTGGCTGTCAAAAGATCCCCTTGGAATTGAACTTGAACTTATGAGATTGGGATTGACTGTGAACTACGTTGACTAGTGTAAGTGGTTTGAAACATGTAACCAATCTGGGTAAATATTAGGGAATTTTTAGAAAATATTTTTTTGGAAAAAGTTGTTGTTAGTCAAAAAAATAGTTGGAGTCGGTCATTGCGACGCTTTGTAAAATGAAGATGATTGAGCATGTTTTTCATCACATATGTTTTCACGAAAGTAAGACCATAATTTGTTCCATGTGCTAACCCAATACCTGTAAAAGTAAACAAGTGTTGTAACTTTTGATTTTGTTGAGTTGTGTTAGAGAGTGGCTAAAAATCTTGTTTTAAATGTTATATATCTTTGTTGGGTTAATGCCAAGTTATCTCAAGGCACGACTGGTACACATTCGACTGTATGACACAATAAGGTTAATTGGATTGAATCCTCTTCATTTTGTTTTGTTTATTGCATTGATGTTTGAAAAAAAATCTTTGAAGTTGTGTTAATCTTTTTATACATATGTTATTTTCTTTAGTTTTTCTTTTATTGCATGAATTCACTCTTAATTCCCTTTAGGCCCTTTTCATTCCTTCCGTTCTTTTCATCTTAGTTTCTTTTTAGTCGCCCATCGTCTTCTCTAGTATGATTCTTCATTTTGTTCTTTCTTGAGGACAAGAAAGGTCTAAGCTTTAGGAGGTTTGATAGGTGCATTTTATGCACCTATTTTGCATGTTTATTTCCGTCCTTTCATAGCATTCTACTTCATAATTCTTGCATTTGGTTAATTATTTGGGCGATTGCATATTTTATTAATAATGCCTTGTACTTCACTATTTTTGATTTATTTTGTAGGCATCATGGAGCATGGAGCATGGATCTTGGACCATGAAGAGAAGATGGACCGGTCATGCCATGGAAGAAAACATGAAGACATAACCCGAGTCGTTGTTGCGTTATCATCATAGCAAAATGACTATGTTTGAAACACGGTTCGTGTCACACCGACACGGGTCGTGTTTGTCCTTTCCCATCTTATATTTGAGTAACATGACTCGCGGAGAAGCTAGACTGAAGAAGGAGCCAATAGTGAAGACTTATTGGACTTTTAGCAAAAAGCATGGGCCATGCTAAAAACACATGGCCATACCAAAAACACATGGGCAAAAGGCATGGCCATGCTAAAAATGCATGGTCGCATGGAATGCACGTGAACAGTTAATTATGGTGCTAAATTGGAGGAGATCAACACTTTTAGTTCAGGGACGGTTTTGGAGCAACTTCTGGCGATTTTAGGGAGATTTTTGGGAATTCTTGAAGGCTACTAATCATTGCAAACACTTTTGATTTCCTTTTGTAAGCATTAAACATTTCAATTCCATCTTTATTCTTGTTTGATTTGTTCTTAGCCATGTGTGGCTAAGAAACCCTAATTTCTAGTTATTGTTCAAAACATGTTGATTACTTGACTTGAAGCATATGATTTGATGTTTGATTTGTGATTCTATTCTAGTGATTATGTTTTTGTTTAAACTAGAACCCTTGAATTTGATTTGTGTTTGATTGGCCACTTTCATGAATTGAATTTTTGTGTAGTTAATTAACTTTTAGGGCACCTAATCGTTCTATTAAGTTAATAATTGGTAACAAACAATAAGTTTTATTATTGTAAAACATATATCACATGTCTTCATACTTCTGAGCGTATGAGAAGAAATGAGCATTGTTGGGAAGCTTGTACAAAACGTAATGCAGTTTTTCAATACAATCTAAGAGCATGTTTAAGTGTAATTAGTAAAGCTAGGTTTAGTCAAAGAGCGTGTTTTGGTTAGATAATTTGGAAAACGAGAGGTATTAGAGCGTGTTAATATCTTTCAGTACCAACTTAGAATAGCAATCATGAATTACATCAAGTCATAATCAAGTTGAACAACAACATTGAGAACTAGAACTAGAACCATTCCATCAAACTATTTACAAGTTTATTCCATTTCTGTACGTTTTTAAAGTTGATTGTTATTTTATTATTTTACTTTTGCAAACAAAACCCCCTTTTGTGATCAAAGTACCTTGCGCAAAGAGGTATAGACTTTTATCTCGTGTCTCTATGGTTCGACCCTGCTTGCATTGTACTACTTTGTAGTGCATTAAAGCAGTATATTAGGAGTCTATTGTACCCCTATTATTTGTTGGGTTTGACACGCCTAACAACGAGATCTATTTTAGGGCTTTGTTTTTGTATGTTTTGGTCCTATGGGTCCTCTGTGTGGGTTTGAACCACTGTAGGAGCTAGGAATACTATATCTTAGCCTCCCTGATATCCTTGTGAATAAAAATGTTATCTTGATGTGCTATATTGGACCATGCATTAGTTAGGGCTCTTATTATTGGTCTTAATGGTCAAAACGAGTATTGAGTCCCATTAAGTCATGCAAAACTGTAATGTTGCCAACTTTACGTGTTAAGACCTTATTTTTATAGTAGATCTGAAGTTTGGACGTAAAGGTCTTAAGGGATTAAGACCCTAGGTTGGCTTTTGGGACTCTGGTCGGTACGACGGATGTACTCCTTATTACGTTGTGCGTACTGGTTCAGCAGCCCGCTTCCGGGTCAATGTGCATATGCGTGGCGTACGTATAGGGTACACGGGGCGTATGCCAAATAGTGGGCTTTTATTTGTTTTGGGCCCTTTTTAGACTTGGACTTCTTTTGGGCTTTGGACCTTAGCTGGATTTTGGGCTTTATATCTGTTGGGCCATAGTTGGACCTTAGGTTTATAGGTTGGGCCATCTTTGGGACTTGGGACACTATAGAGTTAGTGGGCCAAGCTAGTTGGGCCCAGTAAGGAAAAAGGTAAACTAGTCTTTTACCCTCGAGGTTAAGGATGATGAGTTGGGACCCCAGTTTTGGTTTATGACCTAATTATTAATTAGGGTATTGTTTGATGATATTTTGTGCAGAGATTTCCCGGATCAGCAGTCCGAGATTTTATCTGATTTTTTAGAAGTTTGAGGCGAGTTTCCTCCTAGTGCTTAGCGGGTCAAAGGCACCAATGTCGACCTATGGATTATGGTTATTTGTATGCTAGTTATCTATGTGACCTTGCATGTGTGTATTTATTGTATGTATGCCGGGTGGGGCCTGATGGGTGAGTTGGACGGGGCTCATCACATGATATAGACAGATATGTTCCGAGCGGGGCCCGATGTCGAGCGGGGCCCATTGGTTGCTGGGCATGGCCCATTGTATGTTTGATATGTATGGTATGAGGTATTTTGGGGAGCTCACTAAGCTTCGTGCTTACAGTTTTCAATTTATGTTTCAGGTACTTCCGGATCAAGGGGAAGAGATCGGGATGATCGCATCGCACACACCATGATTTCTACCTTATTTGACTTTGATGTATTGGGATGATTTGATTGACATACTATGATTTTCCTCTATGGTTTTATGAACATGTTTGGTTGATGGTTTTATTATTATGGAAACGAAATTTTTTGGTTTTAAATTTTGGGATGTTTCAAACTTTCAGCCCCAAAATCACATGTATAATTAGGTATTATTTCATGAATGGAGATCAAAAGACAAAGAAGAAAGAGTAAGGAGTATCTGTGGTCAATGTGGGTGAAGTGTCCGATGCAAAATCGACACATCTATTAGATAGAGGTTAAAAAATGCCCAAACTCGGAATGGAGAAATAGGGCCCAAATTCATGTAGCAAAAACATACCACACACACACACTACAAACATTTATCATCAAGAAGCCCCTTGAGCACATACACTCCCCACATAGATGCAAAAGGGAAAGCTTCAATCAATTCCCTTCAAGATTCAACGAGTATTGGGTAGTTTGAAAAGTTTACGAATTAAAGAGTTTGTGATTTCATTCACATGTTTCATCCGTTGGACTAATATGTGATTTCATTCACATGAAGAAGCCATTAAAGATCAGTAGTAGCGAGGTGTTGGCTAATGGTGGCATATTGAGATGATGATGACAGGTGGTGTCTTGATGGTGGTGATAGATGATGAGATAAGTGGGTGCTTATGTATCTTTGGTCTATATGTGAACCAGTTGGATCTAAGCCTTCCAAAAGAGCAAATATGCTTTGTTTTCGTTGAAACACACATAAAGTAACTAGTTTGTCTTCTTTGGTTCAAATGCGGTTGTCGGTGAGCTTTGGCATCTGAATTTGTTCTAGTATTTTGATTTTCACTTCTTTGGTTCAACTGGTTTCAACATTTTGGCATGTGAATTTCTCATGTATATGTGTGAAGTGCATATGGAGGGATCGATCTTTTTGAGTTGAAGGTGCTTGAGAAACAAGATGTAAAAATAAAAATAAAGAAATATAATAGTTATTTTAATTTTCGAAAAGATAAAAATTAAAAGAACAATTAATCCAAAACTTTAATGGTTCTGAACATTTAAAAACAAATACATACCCCAAAAACCATTTTTGGAGATATGCCTCTAAAAAATTCGTGTATGTCAAATTGGGTTAAATAAATCTCCATATTATTATTTTGCATTTTTTTTTCTTTGGAAACGGTCTTGATGTCAGGAGCAGTTATCTCGAATCTCGATCTCCACAAAATAAAGCGAAAAAAAAAAAAAAAAGTGAACAAAACACTGTCGTCCCAATTCGGACAAAATCCAAATCTCCGTGATGCATACCGACGGCAGGTCTGAGGCGGAGCGACTGCTTGGTATCGCCGAGAAGCTCTTACAAGCTAAAGATCTCAACGGCGCTCGTGATTTTGCAATTTTAGCTCAAGAGACTGAGCCCTTACTCGAAGGCTCCGATCAGATATTGGCGGTAGTTGACGTCCTTATCGCCGGTGACAAACGAATTAAGAACCAAAACGACTGGTATGCAATTCTTCAATTAGAAACCCGAAATGACGATACCGATCTCATCAAAAGACAGTATCACCGCCTTGCGGTTCTTCTTCATCCTGATAAGAACAAGTACGTTTTCGCAGATGCAGCGTTCAAGCTCGTTGCAGATGCGTGGGCAGTGTTGTCCGATCCCTCGAGGAAAATTGCGTATGATAATGAATTGTTTGCGTTTTCAAAGGTAGATCTAGTTAAGAAAGATGGAGAGAAAAGGGATGATCAGCATCATCAAATTTCACGTGATAAGATTTCGGTGAGACGAACATCGGCGAATATATGGACGGTGTGTCCGTTCTGTTACAATATGTACGAGTATCCTAGGGTTTACGATGGATATTGTTTGAGATGTGTGAACTGTCAACGAGCGTTTCAGGTGGTGGTTATACCTCCATCTTCGTTGCCACCGACTGTGCCGGGAAAAGAAGCGTATTACTGGTATTGGGGGAATTTTCCGATAGGATTTCCATCCACCAATTCATTGCCGAGCGACAGGAACATGCCGCTTGCAGGACCTGGTGAGGATTCCGTCGTCGGGACTCCGCCAGTGGCAGAAATTAGACACCCAACACCTCCGACTGCTGGAAGCAAAGTTGCTAAAAAGAGGGGTAGGCCGAGAAAGAATCCCCTGCCCTAAAAGTCCTTCAGAAACTGAGGGTTCCATAGAAATTCGTTGAAGGACTTAGCAATTTTTGAGGGTTTTCTTCGCATAGTTCAAGAAATTCTTCAAAATCTTTGCAGCTTGCCTCTCAAATGAATGAAAAAATTTGAAGAAAGCACTTCAATTGACGCAAGAAACATTTAGGTTGGTATGTACTGCTATGTAGTGTTATTTTGTTTACTTTTCTTTCATGTTCATAAATATGGCAAATTACATGGAAATTGAATATAAACTAACTAAAAATTCATTAAAATCGGTCATTTTAAACACTTGTTGATTAATCCTATTCTTATTCAAAATTACAATGGAAATTGTCATGATCGGAATATTACCTAATATCATTTTATATTTTGCAAGAAAAAGATCGGATCAGGACCAAAATCATATCATATTATACTATAAATGATATATTTTTCTATCATCATATACATTTGAAATCTCCATAACCTTTTTAATTTTCAACTTAATATAATTAATCTATTAAATCTAAATATGTTATTAAATGCAAAAATTATCTTATTGTTTGCAAACTTTTAAAATGATTATTATAATATACTTATTTGTTAATTTAAATATTATGTTAAATCCAAAACATAAATCAAAATATAAGCTAAACTTAAAAAATATATTCAAATACCATTTTTGAAAATAGTTAAAAGGGATTAAATAATATAAATATAGAATCACAAGTCAAATTAATTAAAAATATAAAAACTATTTTTTATTATAATTAAGTTTTTTTTTTTAAAATAAGTGGTTTTAATTAATTAAAAAAATTACATTTCGTTATCTTACAAACAATGATTTATATATCAACTAACCATCATTATCGAAATTTAACAAATCAATAGAAAAATAATTTTTAAATTAATCAGTCATAGCATTAAATTGTAATACTTAAACCAAAATTATGTTTAGTTTTATTTAAACTCAAACTTCATGTAGATGCCATTAAATAAGTTATAAATTTATATATCAACTTAATATATATATATATATATATATATATATATATATATATATGGTTCAAATCAGTTATAAATTTATATATCAACTTAGTATAAAAGTTCTTTAGAATTAATGTCTTGTTATTTTCAACATATATATGCAAAAAAAATTTATGCATATCATATTATTCTATTGAATAATATGATTTTGATAGATATATATTTTATAATATGGTTCAAATCAATTATAAATTTATATATCAATTTAGTGTAAGAGTTATTATTTTATAATTAATGTCTTATTATTTTCAACATATATATGCTAAAAATTTAACTGTATAGTTTTATTCTCCGCAACACACGAATATTCGTCTACTTAACTTGTATTCAAATTTGCTAGTAAGATCTTGGATTTGCAGTATACATTATAAAAATATGTCGATTAAGATGTTAATATGGAGTCAAGTTTAACTTTTAAAACATAAATAATAATTTTTGTTGCCGCAAACTGTAAAAATTAGGAAGAAAATATATTAATTACAAAAAGAAACTAGATCATTATGATCTACAACAAGAGGCTAAAGATCACAAACGGAATATTATGAGTGTAACCTACCTAATTCGAGATGAAGTGATGATGCTCTATCAGACTTCTTGTAACTTGAAATTCTCAATTTCAAGTTGAATACATAAATTTTTGAGGTCTGACTATATAAATGAGACATTTTTTTCTATCACCAAATTTATTTGAAACCTACACCATCTTTCAATTTTCAACTTAATATAATTAATCTATTAAATATAAATATGTTATTAAATACAAAAATTATCTTATTATTTAAAGGGGATTAAATAATAAAAAATATAGAATGACAAGTCAAATAAAATAAAAGTATCAAAAATTATTTTTATTATAATTCATTTTTTTCGAAATAAGTGGTTTTTAATTAATTAAAAAATTATATTGCGTTAAATTACAAACAATGATTTATATATCAATTAACCATCATGATCGAAATTAAAAAAACAATAAATGAATTTTAAATTACTCAATCATAACATTAAATTGTAATACTTAAATTGAAACTATGTTTATTTTTTTTAAACGCAAACTACAAGTAGATGTTATTGAATAGTATGATATATATATATATATATATATATATATATATATATATATATATATATATATATATATATATATATATATATATATGTATATATATATATATATATATATATATATATAGAGAGAGAGAGAGAGAGGATATATATATATATATATATATATATATATATACATATATATATATATATATATATATATATATATATATATAGAGAGAGAGAGAGAGGAAGAAAGGAAGGATAATTTAAGAACTTAAAGTTTCCCGAAAACCAAAAGTGAAACGTTGGATTAATTTTTTGGACGTATTAGATGATTAGTGACATACTTTTTAAATATGACTAAATTTAATGGTATTATAGGTTCTTAGCAATAAACGGCAGGGTAAATCTGGTATATAAAAAATCAAATTACATGTTATTTTAAGTATCATTTAGCCCCCCCCCCCCTCTCTCTTTCTCTCTCAATGTATCGTGTTCTTCAACACATCCTCCCCTCTCTGTTGACCGCCTCCATTCACCCTCTAACAACCACCCTACATCTGTCAACGACCAACGCCTTCGACAACTTACTCTTTCCTTCGGCGACCACCACTATGACGGCCTAATATCTCCGCTCTTTCTCTCTTTCTCTCTCTCTCTCTCTCTCTCTCTCTCTATATATATATATATATATATATATATATATATATATATATATATATATATATATATATATATATATCACTGATTTCCTGCATGATTACCATCGCCTAACGCCGCCACCGTAGATCTGGAATCAAAATCCATTTTGTCGATCCATTGTATCAGAAACCGATCTCCATTGAAGATCCCCGATGATTGATAGATTGAACAACACGGTGGATGCGTCGTTCTTCCCTCTCGGAGTTTCGTTCTCTAATAAATCAACCAAAGGTCCTATCGCTCCGGACCTCCCGATTCTTATCTTGTTATCTTCGATTATCGACAGACTAAATAGTGTCGCGACAGAATTCTTCTTTGGCTTTGAGCTTCCGGTCTCGAGGACGTGAATTAGAGCTTCCTTCTTCACCTGAATTTCGAGGTTAGTGGGATCAGGTCTCGCTTCAGTAGCTGAAGAAACAACTCTTGCCCCAAAAGATGATCTTCTCCATATGAAGTGGATTCTGTTCCAGTAATGTCTGAATTGAACACTGTTTATGAATCTTCTTCTGATCATCATTCGATATTGATAGTAGAACCAAGAGAACAAAGCCTCTCAGATGATTACATCTTCTACTAGAAAACAAAAATCAGGTTAGTTGGTTACCCTTTTGACGTTATTATTACCTTTTTTTCACTAAGGATTATAAATTTGGATGCTTTGTGTATCTATCTCTATCTATTGTAACTAGCAGAAGCCACCCATACAAGGGATAGGATGGAGAATGTTGATGCAACTAATTTAAGTTCTAGAGGCATATAAGATAATAACACAAATGTGACTGTATGTTTGGACAATGATTCTTATATTGCAATCAAGAACATGTTTGTGGATTCTAAGGTAATCATATATCTGATTATTTGTCATTTGTTGTTTGACCTTTTGATTTCATTATCTCAAATCATAATATAAATGAAAGTATGTTGTAATTATGGTAACTCAATGGATTCTCATAAAGTGTCTCATTTGTTTATATGATATAGGGATGTGTTGTAACATAATCTTTTGCAAATGGAACCATATTTTCTCCTACATTCCATATTTCCATAACTGTTGAAGGAGAAATATTAGATGGAGGTAAATAATTAAATTTCTATTTTGTTGATAGTGAAATAAAAATCATGGTTTAATTAAAGTGTTTCATTTTGTTGTTATTTTGATCTAACGCTCCGCTCCACCCAGGGTCGGCCTTATGCTTTAGTGAGTAAAGGTAGGGCTTAGGGCCCCCAATTTTAAGGGGCCCCATTTAATTTCAAGTCTAGCTTCTAGTCTCCATTTGATTCGGTCTATGCGCTACTCCCTATTCCCAAAAATATCACGCCTGCGATTCTTTCAACTACAAGCGACGACGTCAACTCGTCAAGACTCAAGACGATTAAACTCCCTTTCTTTTTCTCCATTCTCGGACTCGATTCTAGGCCTTCTTCAATCGATTCTTCCACTGTTGCAGACTAAAAGACTGAATCGTTGATGTTCTTCAGACTTCAGTTCTTCTTCCTTCTTCATTCTCGGTTTCTCAATTGCTCAAAAATCAAAATATGCTATTATGTTGTAATTGAATTTGAAAAGGTAATGTGCTTGTATTTTCACTTTTGAGTTTTGATTTATCTATTATCTGATTATGTAATTGGGATTAATAGCCGATTAAGGTTAATCTTTTGATCTTTTCAATTATGTGAATTATGAATACCTGATGGAATGTACCCATAGAATGATAGAACAAGCGTTTTTTTATCAAATTCGTCAAACATGCGATATTTGATTTGGATTCTATGGTTTGGCCTCATAATTTGGTTTTGTTTTGAATGAGATTCTTGTTTGACATCCTGTTATATATAATGTCTTCTCATTAAAACACAATGTTTTATTATTAAGTTATGTAATTTGTTTTTAATTGTTTTTGGCTTTATCCAAATGGAATGAATGATCAAAGTTGTTAAACTTTTCAATTTTGTGATTTTTGATTTCAGATTGGCGGATTCTATTGTTCACTAATTTCAGATTGGTTGATTTCGTTGTTCACTTATTCCAAATGGGCAGATTTCATTGTTTTTGAGCTTTCCATTATCTCAGGGGCGGTATAATCCTAATACATATCTTCTATACTTATAGTTATTATTAATCAAATAATTAATAATCATGTCAAAGAGAAAATACGAATCTGGTGCTTCAAAAAGGAAACGAAAAATGCAAGAAGAAGTTTTTATAGATAAACAAAAAGG